GACTATCTTATAACATTACAAAATTACCTTCCTACCTATTTAGGCTGGTGTGAAAGAGGCATCCCATCACCTCTGAGTGACAAAACATTGATGTTCCTTAGCAACCCTTGTATAACCCTTGTGTTGCCAAAACACTTCAGATGCCCTGTTTTGCCCACAGCTTCATTACCTGATTACTAACCCCAAGAGCAAACTAGCCCAAACCTGCCATCAACAGTGGGGAGAGGCATTGCTGGGTTCCGCAGTTGCTGTCCATACACATAATGTGTTGCTGTCCATACACATAATGTGCTCTTCTCTATGGGCTCCTCCTGGAGGGAGTGGATAATGACAGCACCAGCAGCTGGGGAACTAAACATGTGCTCCTTTTTTTTAAGGTTTTTGTTTGTTTGTTTCCATGCGAGAAAGAGGAGAGGCACCCTCAATAGAGTCTTGGTGCCACACCCTCCCCCAGCATCACTAGCCCCCACACATGCTTAGCATGCTCAGGGAGATCTGAGGACTCAAACCCAGCACCTTCCCACGTGATTCCAGCTGCACTGCTACTGAGCTACTGTCTGGCCCAAAGTGTGCTTTCTTCTAATGAGAAGTCCTATTCATTGTTCATTGTCCTGGAATCTGGCACTGCCTCCAGGTCACAGTACTTCATGATGAAGATAATGAGAGAATTTGTGAGTAGCTGGACTAACTTCCCACTAAGGAAATGGTATAGTGAATTGGCTAAGAGTGTGGAGGCTGACCTCAAATTCCCTGGGTTCAAATCTTGGCTTTGCCACTTATTGGCTGTGAGAACCTGAATGAGTTCATCTGCCTTAAACTTCCATCTCCCCTTTTGCAAAATAAAAACTATTATAGTAGCCTTTTGTTGTTACTACTAAGGAAGATCATGAAAGCAAAATACTTACCAAAATATTTGGCACAGAAAGTTATAAATAACAGCCTCTACATATAGTGGAGAATTACTCACAGAGGTTTTTTTCCCCAGAGTTTTTATTACGAACTACCAGGTTTCATCCAAAAGAAAAAAATGATTCTGAAGACCCAGGCTTGTTGCCCATCAAAAGAACTGTTAATGAAAGTTTAAAAAGCAGTGCTAATTAAGTCATATATTCTTCTCATACACAAAGAGAAACACAACAGAAATTTGGAGAGCAATGTGTTGTTTTTCTTCAACAAATGTACCTGAACTCATACATCAAATAAGGGATTTTATCTTCAAAGGAGTCGCATCAGGAAGTCATGCACTTGTTTCAATAATGCTGCCAAATATTTTTGGAACTCTTCCCTCCAAATTACCTTTTGAGTCTGCTTCAAATTCTTTTAGATGTCTACATTGGCAACAAAATTTGTCCTTTGGGAGTTTTCAATTTTGAAAGCAGATTTAATACCAAGAATAAGATAGAGTGGCCACTGGGTGGTATGGAACTTAAGGCAGTTGGATCCCACACAGCCTACTATATGGTTCAAGTCCCTGATCCAGTGGCTTGAAAATCACACTGGGTGCATGTCTGTGCATGCCCAAAATCCTGAGAAGAGAAAGGAAGAGAAAGAATCGTAGCATAGCTATCACCCCTGAAAAAACTGGGGAAAAAAAAGAAGAAGAAAAGAAAAAGAAGATGAAAGACGATCAAAAATGAAGAAACATAGCGCTTTTTACATGGGTTGTCAAATATCCCAAACAATTCCAGGCACGAAATCTCTAAAATATTTCAGACCAATGGAAGCATTGTCAGGATTAATGTGTTGCTTTCTATGTGGTTAACAAGTTATGTTTTTATTTTATTTTATTAAACAGACACTTCCAGAGTACTATCTGTCAAGCACTGTTCTAGGAATTTTTTATTTATTAGCTCATTTCATGCTCACATCTTATAAGGTAGGTGCTCTTAGTATCCCCATTTTACAGATGAAGTCATTGAGGCACAAAGAAGTTAAGGATTTTGTCCAAAGATAGAGCTTATAAATTGAGGAGACAAAAATCAAACCCAGGCTTAGTAGATATATATAATCAAACCCAAACTTAGTATATACACTGATTTTCTAAAAAGTACAATCTCAGGGTTCTAAAGGTTGACTGTCCCTAATCCAAAACTCTGAAATTCAAAATGTCCCAAAATCTGAAATTTCTTGAGTGCCAACATCACACTACAACAAGTAAAAAGTTTCACATCTGACTTATGTGACTAAGTCATAATTGAAATGCTATAATACAAAATACTGTATAAAATTACCTTTGGGCTATATGTGTAAGGTATATATGAAACATAAGTGAATATCTGGTTTCAGTTCATTACTGAGATACCTCATTTTAAAAATACAAAATCATAAAAAAAATTAAAAATATGAAACACTCTGATCCCAAGCATCTCAGAAAAGGAATATTCAACCTCCAGTAGCTGGGCTGCTTTTGTTTTGTTTTTTGAAGTAGTATAATTTAAACTTGGTGGAAGATATTATATCCCTCTATGAATTCCTTTTTGACCTCAGCTGATGGCCTTCTTAGTGTTCAGAAGCACTAACTGAACCCATTTTCTCTATCTCCCCATAGCAAGTTATTACCTAAGAAGGAAACAGGCCCACTTTGTAGCTTCCTGGTGTTCTAATGATCCACAGGCCATCCTGTTTTTCCACATGCGCAGGCCTTTCACCCAGCTGCTCAAGTTATGCCAGGAACAGTCTCTCTTCTCAATTTCCTCATACCTACTTCAGAACTCCCTCCTTAAAATTCACTTTTTCTATTGCATCACTTTGTGGGTCAATGTTTATTTATTTATTTTTTTATTTTTGAAGAGGTTTTCACTCAAGGTGTGTGTGTGTGTGGGTTGGGGGTAGTCAGAGGGAAAGTGAGAAATCACCCCCTAGAGGGGATGGCCACACCACAATCCCTTCACCTCCATTCTTCAGGTCCCACACTCAAACCGTGGTCAGCCATGTGGGAATCCAGTGACTTAACTGCTACACCATCTGTTGACCCCTATAGGTCAATTAGATCAACTAACGGAGAAGAAAGAAAAGGGGAATGGGTAGGAAAGTCATTAAAATTTTTTAACTTCTCTTTGAAAAAGCATCTCTTTATATTGATTCCCCTAAGCAAAATGTCTACGCTCTGTGGCAGAAATTGAAAGATCTGAAGCTATGCTAGTAGGGAGGATAAGTGTAAATTCCATATACTGTAAGAGAGGAGAGAATGGTAGAGAGTGGGTGCTAGGGGCAAAGGGAAGAAACACTTAACAGACAAAAGAATGTGAAGTTCTCCATTGAAAATGATGTATATGATAATAACTTCTATTTGATTGTCATGTATACATTCATACTCTGAAAAAGCCTATTGTACTCTATAGAGATGTACCCTGATGGAATTTAAATTTTAAAAAATATATTGAATGTCTCACATTGCTCTTTTTCTTTTAAATATGTTTCCAAAGTGCCTTCCTACCAATGCCAAGAGCATATCACTGGCCAGCCATTCTGATAATGACAACAACCCTAAAGAAACACTTTTTAGCAAATTAAAAAAATAAATTATGCTGGAACTTTTTTATTTCAGGATAAAAGGAAAATACAGGAAGAAATCTCACAAAAGCGTCTGAAAGTAGAGGAAGAGAAATTAAAACACCAGCATTTGAAGGTAACTTATGACTTTAATTTCATTTCAATGATTTTGTATTCAAATATCTGAATGCCATGCAAATTTCAATAATAAAGATGCTTCAGGAAAGAAAAAAATTCAACATAATTCTGCTAACCTTCTAACAACCACAGAGAAGGCCAACAAGCTTGTAATATTTGCATATGAGATTAATACCTTCTGGCAAATATGTGGAAAGTCAAAAACATGGCTTTATTACTTTTATCCTTTATTATTGAATTTCCTAATTTTCTTGGGTAACCTTGAGAATTCAGCCTTGAGAATTTGGCCCTGAATACAGTCTTGCTTAATGTCCCCAGGGAGTGGCTCCAGCTAGGAAGTTCCTTTTGAAATTAATGAAAGGCCAGTCATTCCCCAAGGGACTGCAGAACAGAGCACGTCTGGCCTGGTCAAGGATGCTTATATTTGAAAGCTCAATGCAATGAATCCAATGTTGTTTGAGTATGATTTAGGTTTTTGTTTTATTTTGTTTTGACAGAACATGAGCTCATAACCAGAAATAAACCACCATTTTTAAAATCAGACTTTACATCTTCCACTGGGTGTGGTTATTTGTAATAAAGAATGTGAAGTTCTCCATTGAAAATGATGTATATGATAATAACTTCTATTTGATTGTCATGTATACATTCATACTCTGAAAAAGCCTATTGTACTCTATAGAGATGTACCCTGATGGAATTTAAATTTTAAAAAATATATTGAATGTCTCACATTGCTCTTTTTCTTTTAAATATGTTTCCAAAGTGCCTTCCTACCAATGCCAAGAGCATATCACTGGCCAGCCATTCTGATAATGACAACAACCCTAAAGAAACACTTTTTAGCAAATTAAAAAAATAAATTATGCTGGAACTTTTTTATTTCAGGATAAAAGGAAAATACAGGAAGAAATCTCACAAAAGCGTCTGAAAGTAGAGGAAGAGAAATTAAAACACCAGCATTTGAAGGTAACTTATGACTTTAATTTCATTTCAATGATTTTGTATTCAAATATCTGAATGCCATGCAAATTTCAATAATAAAGATGCTTCAGGAAAGAAAAAAATTCAACATAATTCTGCTAACCTTCTAACAACCACAGAGAAGGCCAACAAGCTTGTAATATTTGCATATGAGATTAATACCTTCTGGCAAATATGTGGAAAGTCAAAAACATGGCTTTATTACTTTTATCCTTTATTATTGAATTTCCTAATTTTCTTGGGTAACCTTGAGAATTCAGCCTTGAGAATTTGGCCCTGAATACAGTCTTGCTTAATGTCCCCAGGGAGTGGCTCCAGCTAGGAAGTTCCTTTTGAAATTAATGAAAGGCCAGTCATTCCCCAAGGGACTGCAGAACAGAGCACGTCTGGCCTGGTCAAGGATGCTTATATTTGAAAGCTCAATGCAATGAATCCAATGTTGTTTGAGTATGATTTAGGTTTTTGTTTTATTTTGTTTTGACAGAACATGAGCTCATAACCAGAAATAAACCACCATTTTTAAAATCAGACTTTACATCTTCCACTGGGTGTGGTTATTTGTAATTAAAGCACATTGCGTTTTGACATTTTATTACATAGCTTAGTCACAGGATGCAAGCAAATGTCAAACAGGAGCTCCTTGTGAGCCAACCCAACCAGGAAACTGTGTTTATCTGGCAAGACTGCTATCAATGGACACAGCGAACCCCTCCATGAGACAATGCCACCTGCTCATGGGTCTATGAACTTAAGCTCAATTTAGCCAAAATCAGCTGAAACCATTTTTTGAAGTAGAACAAGTAACCACCTCTGAAAAGAAACATAAATTTAAGATTCTAATTAGCCCCAATTTCCTGGATGCCGTTTGCTTCTTTTCTTTTGTACAAGTTGAATTTCTGCTACTTGACAGATAGTTTCAAAGCACAGTAAGCCTGCTCTCTTTACACCATGTCACAATAAGCCTACCTGAGTAGTAAACGTACTCAAGAAACGCAGTGTGTACTCCCAGAAAATCAATGAAATAAAAGCCAATCCTACCAAGCTATTTCAGTGCAATTCAAATGAAGTCAAGTCAAATCTAGAACAATTTTTGAGATTGGCCATTTCTAACTCTAAAGTCAGAGCATGTGCTTTCTCTCTCTCTCTCTCCCTCTCTCTCTCTCTTACCCACGTACACACACACACACACACACACACATACACACACACAATTAACACACAGTTCAGCTCTCCCAGTGAACTACCTCCTACTTCTGAGTAAATGGAGAGCTCTCTAGCATTCTCCAGTTGTTATCCTTGCAGAACAAGCAGCAGAAGAAACAACAGCAGAGCTCACATACCAAGAAAGGCTTATATATCCCCCCAAGTTCACTTTAGGAAACACCTGACTCCCTGAAAGCTCTATTTCTAAAGTAGCATCTCACTTCAGTACGTTCCAAAAACTGCCTAGAAAGTTCTGCACAATTTTCCCCACTGATTTGCTTTCTGGAACCCAAGAGACCTCTTCAGATCCAATCCATTCAATACATTTATTATGCTTCAACTGCTGTACACAGTGGTACAGACGGTGTACTGCACAATTGTACCTGAAATGGGGTGCTGGAATGATTCCCACACTCCCTGGCCAGCTATGCACTCTGTCCCGGGGCCGCTGAGACCTGGAGCCTGAGGTTTCCATTTTCTCTTTACAAAACTGTTATCCACTTTGCAAGCTTGACTCCTTGATCCCAGGAGTCAAGGTGGGTATGAGGGAGGAAATGACACCTTTTCCTAATCTGGGAAGTTTAAGATAAAACAAGTAAGACAAGTTAAATGATAGTTTTTTATTTAAATTAAAATATAAGCATTAATTCCTTAATCTGGGGTGATTTTTTTAAAAAGTTTCTATTAAAGGTGTGGGATTTAAGCTAAATCTTAACTGAAAACAGAATTTCTATGTATGTACATAGGACCTTTTCACCAATAAACATTTATTAAGCACCTATTCTGCGTAATGTACTAAGCAGGACACTAAGAATATGAAATAAATAAAAATCAGCCTATGCCCTTAAAATGGTAATAGGCACATGATCTTAGATGACATTTATCCTGTGGCGAATATGTATGAGAGGCATAAACTACAAAGAAACATAG